AACAGGTGGTAGTCTTTTGTTGCAAAAGAGGGGTATTCCCATGCTGCAAACTGGATGTGAATACCATATGATTGTTTTTAGAGACAGACATTTCAACTTGCACTGAAATTTTTGCAAAAGTATGCCCTCATGTAACAATCCTTCTTTCTAATTACAGACTGTAGGAAATCCAGCAGAGAAGGCATTTGTGGTAGAATTAGGTGTTGAAGCTTAGGGAGTTTTGAATCCACAATTAAAAAAAAAAAAACAAAAACAAAACCTGAAAAAAATAAGAAAGAACAGACTGTGTTTGATTACCAGGCTACAAACCTTAGCATGCAGTGCTTAAACATGGAGGGACAAATTTTTCTAACAGGCTGGTGCTATTGTGTAAAGATGGATTTGAGCCAAACTCCCAGATTTGAAACCCCATGAACTTCAGCAGGCACAGGCCAATCCTTGGCTTAAGTTCATCTCAATCATTGCAAGCATAGAAAAGGTATTTGAACATTCACAGTAGCAATTGGAGATCCAAAAGGGGAAGGTTCATGCATAATCTGTTCACTATTCGCACACACAAGGGGCATATCAGTGCCAATGTGAACATTTGTCCCCTTGATCATTATGAGAACGTTTTTAGAGCATCTTTGAAAACACGCTGCGGCATAACACGAAGGGAATGTTTCTGGCATGTGTCCTCAGTAGTTGAATTGGTTACTAACTAATCTCTTTAGTGGGAAGAGCTTTAAATGACTTCTCTAATTTTACCCAAATAAAGAATCTCTTGCACATCACCTCTGTGGTCCCCTCTGACAGCCCTTTCCAGTAATGACAGCTGACATCAGGTTCCTGAGTCACGTGGTGGGTTCCCGCTCAGCGGACAACTGGTTTATTACAGATTTAAGCAATACTGCCTTCTGAATGGGGACTGTAGTGGGTAGATTTCAACAAATTATCAGTTATACCCAGACCAACTGGAGAGATTTATGTGCTGGTTTTAATAAGCATTGCTCTCATTTATTTGCTTTCTCTTTTGCAGCAGAGTAAACTCTGGTTTCCTCTGAGTTGTGCAGCTGCTGTGAATGGTAATAAGACAGCCAAGTCAGTCACAGTAGTGCTGTGCTGGAGACATGCATCCTCCACTTGCTGTATCCGAGGGTTGTGTCTGGAGCTGGGGAGGGGAAAAGTTTAACATAAAAATGAACTACATGCAATTACCAATTTATGGGGAAGCTCATAAGGGATCCAGCTGGTGGTGGCACTGGGTTGTTAAAACTGTTCTTCTGAAGAAACTAGAAGAAGAAATTAAAAAAATGCGCGCGTGCACTATTTGGTTAGCAGGAGTTGTCAGAGCATCCTAGAATATTTCTTATTAATAAGAATATAATTGCCAACTTTTACATCAAATGTACTTTATGTGTGTTTGCTGTGGAGAAAGCAAGGTAGCAGCACCAGCGTAGAAGAGGCAGGAACACACAGAGATGTGAATATTTTATGGTTCTGTGACAGAGCCATCATCAGAGCATGCCACCTTCTTGAACTGAGCTGTCTATGTGACACTGAGTTGTGATTTATGCCAGTTTGCTTGACTGCAGTGTGGGACCTGCCAAGGTCCATCACATGAGCAGCTGCAGCAAACTGTAGATGATATTAAAGCGGGTAGAAGATGATTTTCCAATTCCATGCTGGCAGAAGCAGAGCAGTGTGGGTCCATCCCCTTCTCAGAGTCAGGTATGGAGTGGCGAGGAGCCTGGGGAGAAACAGCTCTGAGTTTTGACTTGAGACCAGGTATTGTCACACACAGTTGCAGATTGTCATAGTAATAAGAAATCATGACACATACTGTGGTACAACTCTAGCTTGTCCTGACTTGACTGTTTTCCATCTCTCTGCACTTCTTTAGAATTATGTGGTAAAAGCTAAATGCTGTAAGTCTAGGTCTAGAAATGAAGATGGTTTTTTGAGCAGTTAGCACAAAAATAAAAAGGGGTTACACTGTATCCAGGTTGCCATTATTAAACAGGAGAGCTCTCCAAACAGAGAAAGCTCTTGGTGGTGTGTATGCAAGACTATGGGCAAGACACAGGTTGCAAGCGCTTGGGGGTATTACACCGTTCCTTTTCCCAAAGCTAGCATCTGCCTGTGCTGCATGGCCACATTGGTTGCATACAGATCTCACAATGGGTTGTTTCCCAGTTTACTCTTCCAGGTATGCTCTACACACCTGGTGACACCAATATTATTAACTTAAAAGCTCCAACAGAGATATGAGCCCTGGTATGCTGTGTCTTAGGAGATCCCTTTTATCCCAGGGAGTGCACTGACAGGCTTGTTTGAGCTAAATTGGAAACTTTGTCCTTAGTCTATTCAACTATGATTCTTTCTCTTTCTAATATAATTTGATCATAAGCTGCTAATAAAATATTATACACAAACTGCTTGTTCTTTATCAAAATCTGCACTATATTCTTAGAGCTCTACAAGCTTAACACATGCATGACAGACTATTGAAACAAGCTGCTGAGAGAGCTTTGTCATAATATCTATGTACCAAACGTTTCTCTGACTCATACCCTTACGTACCCCCTGCGGTGATTTTGTAAGTCAGGGCAAAATTTAGATTACTGTTTGTTATCTGATACATATTTTTAAGATGTTGCCAAACAAAAAGCTAAATTTAAAAACTATGACTTTTGTTGTCGGGGGTTCCAGACGTGCCAAAGGAACATGTGTCAGCAATTTTAGGCTTAGCGGCCACATAATTGTGAAGTATACTTACTTTTACAGATGCTCTTGGATGATAAAAACTGAGACTTTTCTGTTAGCTCTTTGAGTTACGTTTACTGTCACTGCTTTTTGATTGTTAGTGTCACTTCAAGAATTTGTATTGGAATGGGGAAAAAAAAGTGCACAAAAACTATGGTTTTGTTTATGTGTATGACAAAGTTATTGTGTCCAAAGAGAAAAAATTCTTTTAATGGTTTGGTGTGGCTTGTATGCTCATACATAGACAGACGTTGGGTCCTGCACATATATTCTGTCTTTATTTGCTTTATCATGTATTGCCTTCGTGAGTCAGTATGTCTCCTGCCTAATGATATTTTATTTCTCTAAATTGTTTGATTTGTTGAGGGGATGGGGAAATAGACTGTGGCTTTGATATAGAAAATGAGACAGAGAGACAGACTCTCTGATGCAGGGAAGGGAAGTGTGTTTGAACCTCAGATCCATCCTACGTCATCGTAACTGAGCTAGGAAATACCGTGGTATGATTTTTCCTAGCTCACACTTGAATCATACATCTATATTAACATATAGCCCAGTGCTCTGAAGTGAAGCATCTTTAGGAATTGCTCCCAAATGAAGCATCTTTAGGAGTTGCTCCCAGGCTTGTTAACTTCTTAACCAGCTGAGGTATACCTTGGAGATCACGAAATGACACGGTCTGACTTTCTGTTGACGAGGATGGCTTTGCTCCAGAAGTAGTTATCTTTAGTATACCTTAAGAATAAAATGCTACTGCCTAGTTCCTTATCTAAAATTCTGATCTTTAAACTGTTGCATAGTTATTTTATTCCCATTCATGGATGGAAGCAGGTATTTTCAGTTAAAATAATTCTGAAATTAATGTTCGGCAGTAAGATTATTTCAGAACTTAATTTTTGGACAGAGACTTTTGAGGAAATCTGGTGAGGGAGACTTTGAATGTATTCTGCATGATTTCTTCAACTTAGCACAGTCAGAGTATGCTATCTTGTACCACTGTAAACTTGGCTAGTTATATCACAGTAAAGGCTTAGGCTTGCATAGTTTCAGTTATCCAAAGATACTGTACCTACCTTAAACATGTCGGTTTGCTCATGGCCATGTGTCATCAGCACCGGTGTGGCTGTCATTTAATTGTCTAGCAGCTGTTCCACTGCGTTTCTCTTGCCCACTGTCACTTCTGCGGCTGCGTCCAGCCCTGAAGCATTGTGGATCTGGGCCAGTGATTCGTTTCTAGTCTGTGTTACTAATGTGCAAGATTTTATAGTCATCTGTTAGCAATTGAGCTGTAGATGCAAAAGTCCATTCTGTTAGTTCTTTGGTGATAAAGAATAGGATTTTAGGTGATACACTGTACCCTGGCATCACTGATCTGAACCTATCTGTAGTAATCACTGCCTTCTGTTTTGTCTCAGGAGGATGGAAAGATTAATTTGTTACTGCATTGCTGTCTTTGTTTTTTGATAACTTGCTGTAGGAGTGTTGGCTCAGCACTCCCTCAGTGCTGTCCTCTCTTGAGATGACTTAGTTGCTGTCGTCCCTTTTCAGTGCTGTGTCTGTGGGGTGAGATTCTGAGGTCTGCAGTCAGCATATGCTGATCAGCAGGGTCCAGCCATGGACTTTGCGTAGACTCATGTTGCTATCGGATCATCTCACTGATCCGGCTGAAAATTAACTTTAACAATATGCTAATGTGTCAGTTTTTTATCAACTCTGAAAGGGCCCCACCACAAATGCTGCTGTGACATATCCTGTATCTCATCATCAAGGAGAAGAGCTTGGTCTTGTGTATTCCTCACCATCGCTGCAGCCCTGAATATGTGAGGTGGTATTATGGTGAGAGTGTTCTGGCTAGACATGAGAGCCCAGGGAAAGAGGAGCAGCTGTCAGGGAAATGATGTATGTTGCTTTATCCACAATTCTGGTAAAGAGTGGAGCAAGCAGATCAAGTCAAAAAGCTATGCTTGCTGTCATTGTCTTCTCTGCCTCCAGACATTTGACCCTGCCTTGGAAGTTGGTCTTGGGCCAACCAAGAAAAGAGCCATCACTGTTGTGACTCAGAGTCAGCTTCACTGAAATCATTAGTTAAGCTGGCACATAACTGATGTGAGACCAGGATCAAAATTTTTTGTTGGTATGTTTTCCCCTAACTGGGCTAATGGCATTCAGCTTGTGAAAGTATTGTTATCTTAGTTTGTAGTAAATGAAATTAAATTTAGGTTCTGAACATCAGTTGCTCTGCCTGGCTTTTCTAGGGCGAATCCTGGACTTGAAGACTGGAACAGTGAAGAAAGAGGGTCAGCAGTCCTCAATGAGAATGTGCATGGGATCAAGGCGCTCTTTCATTTGCAGAATGAGGTACGCATTTACCTTGTATTCCTGTGGTGGTTCCAGTCCCGTCTCAGATTAGACTTCAGACATTTTGTTGCACCAATTTGACCTTGCTTAAAAAATGAAGCTGTAATGACACGCTCGAATTAAGCGTTTCCAGAATGCTTGGTTTTGGAACTGGAGTAAAACTGAAACCTGTGTTCCTTTATGATTAATGACAAAACAGCAACTCGTTTGTGTGTTGCAGTTATTTTTATCAGTGTGGGGTGTAGGATTCTTTCCCCAGAGAACTTCATGACAACTTCACCCCTGGAATGTAAGCCATTGTCTCTTCTAGTCAAATTATTCAAATCAATACTTTGGGAACAAAGCTTTCGCAAGTGTAATGAAAGCCCAACTCTGTGTATTTTTTCAGCAAACCAATAATATTAAAAGAATCTTGAAGACAAACAGCAATTCAGTTGCAAACTTGCCAGCTATGTAGGAATTAACCTAAGCCTGCTATGAATTAACCAGATGTCAGCTGGTTGATGCTAGATAAATGAGTAATTGTTAGAGGGTTTTTATTTTGCAATTTTCCAACTTCTCCTGCATTGCTTGGGCTTATTTAAAGAGATCTGCCTGCCTGCTGCTTCTGACTGGGGCTTGTGGCACTTCTGTTGTTGTAGTGCTAATGGGATAAAATGCATGTTGCTATTGCAATAAATTTCTCTCTGTGTGGTTAGGGGGGGAAAGTACATAATTGCATCTGTAGCCTATATCCAATATATGTGTTGAAAACAGATGATGCAAAATTTGTTATGGAATGAAACACGCACAGCAAAATATTTGACACATTACAACAGATGCCTGTACTTTGGTTATGTGGTGGATTTTCTTCCAGTCACGTGAGGAAGCTGAATGTATGGCTCTTGGTTGCCTTTATAAGGGGTTTATATACTTAATAACTCCAAGATTAGACTTCAGAGCTGCAGTTCCTTTCCCCCCCTTAACTGGGGGGAAGGAAATACAACCTGGCAGAGAGACACTTGGAACATTGCTTTCTCTTCCTCCAAGCGGCACATAGTGGTCATGTGAGGAGGACTTTTTTGTGCAAAGAAAATCAGGCCTAATGTCCTGTTTACAGTTGTTCCCCAGCTTTTAAAACAACATTTCAGATTGCAGTTATTTCCTAGCACCCTGATTCTGTAAACTCCAGTGCATGAGAATGATTTTATACATGCCAGTGGCCCCATTGTTTTTGTAATTCTAAATCTTATTTTAATTGTTCATTCCTTCTCCTTGGCAGTGACTGGTATAAAAAAAAAAAAAAGAATAATAATAATAATAATAATTAAATAAAAGCTTGTGGGAAGAATGAGCCTCAAATAATGTGAACTTTCCTTGTGATTACTTGTTTCATTGTTATTGTTCTTTTTTCCATCAAAAATGAACTGGTTTTACCCTTCAAACTATTTACTTAGCTTCAAATGGATTGTTAAAATTATACAATTAGGCATAGTTAGAAATATCACAAAATATACATGAACATGTGTTAAAAGTTACTTGATAGTGTAAATAGTCTGTTCTTGCAAACATTAGATAAATATCTACTAACATTGTAGCTGGTGTATGGCAGTTGAAATGCTCTGTCCAGGGAAGCTACTGGAACACTGAAATTGGTTTGTGTGGGTATCTGTGGGCCTGACTTACATTCTTCTCTAGTTTTCACCCTTGTTTTATCATATTTTGAAGTGTATCTATCCTTTAGCCACTCTTGGAATATCTATTTCAAATAGTCTTTAGGTCTGGGGGGGCAGGGGGGAAGCTTTTTATAGTCTCTTCTATTTTTCTTTATAAACTAAAGAAAATGTTTGTAGTACACCCAAAAAGCTCAGCCCGTGGAAGCAGCAAGTTCTAAGAAAACATGAATCTGCAACTTTCTGTCAGAAATAAATATCCGTTATTGTCTACTTATATATACTAATAAAGATCTTAAAATGCATTTTCATCTTGGGTTTTTATATTAATTTTTGAGCCCTTTCAAATATTAATTTACTTTTAGGTGTGGAAATGCTCCTCTGGATCATTTACCTCTGAACAGAATAACCACCATGAGAAAAAGATACAGGTACTGTTACTTAATTTACCACAACAGTTAGTTGCCATAAGCACTCTCATTTTCCGCTGGGCTAATGCTCAATCAAGGAGTACTACCTGGACAAACATCTACATTAGCACACAACATAAAATAGCACTTCCAAGATGTATTATGGAAAACAAGTAAGGCTTGAATAGCTTTGTAATGGAGCTGACATTGTACAGCACTCTAGGTTGATGGTTGTTTCTAACTTGCAAATAATAATAAATCATTAATAGTAGTTTAAAAACAAAGCTATTCTGCATGTCAGTCAACGTGATATTTTTGTGTTTCCTTTTCATTTAGGAATGGCCTTGGCCCAGTAAAAGAAGGCGAAGCACAGTATGCTGTTGTCCATTGCACTGGCTATATCAAGGCTTGGCCACCAGCAGGTGTGTATCTGTCTCATTGAACTATCTGCGAGAGTTGAAAACCTGGCTTGGGATCCCTTTGCTGGTACAAAACCAGGCTGAATTTCAGTGGGGTAACTCATTCAGTCTCATCTTGAGAAGCTTTTGATATCAAGAAATAGGCTGTTGTTACTCACTCTGGGCCTCCCCATTTTTCCATGTGAAACCCCTCCCAATTTCATTGGCACAGAGAGCTGTAGAAGCTGTCAGTAATGTGGGATTACAGCAGCTGGGGCCAAAAGTTTTCAGTCTGACAAACCAACATAAACATGGCCTGATTTTAAGAAGGTGAACACAAAGCGTTTGTACCTCTAGAAAACACCAACTAGTGCTTTTATATTTAAGTACTGAGTTACAAGCACCTATGTATGAAAATGTGTAATTTCAATTTAGACACATAGGTCTTTACAGTGGTGGTATTAGTAGAGAAAGTTCAGTGTTATGTGATAAGTTCTGTTTTGAGGCTGTTTTTCCGGGAAACAAGTCTTGGCATCTTGCTTTGAACTACAGAGAAAAACATTTACCTACTGTAACTCAGTATTACATATGGGAATATTTACCTTTGAAAAATTCCAAGAGGAGATAATGGAGCTCATCCAGATACCATCATGGACTGGGTTAGTTGACCTTGGCGTTTGCAGTAGTTGAGGAGGCTGTTTGCAATATGACAGCGCCTGCTGGCATGAATCAAACCATGAGTTGTCCTGCCCTTTTGCGGTTGTATACCACAAGCATAAATCACATTTGTCCAGGGATTATGAATGCTAAGAGGTGGTTTGCACCAGGTCTGTGCAGTGGTGTGCAGACACCAGCACACGGATGTGAACTTCTTGTTGATTTCCTGCTGAGCTGCAGTTTTGGAAGAAGAGGAAAGCCTCCCCTCTCGTTGCTAGTAGGGTTTAGTATACTTCAGTGTGCTGTAGGAGTCAAAATGTTTTAATTTCATTTGTCTTAAAAGAGAGCACAGTATGTGTAAATTGCTCTATGAAAATGGAAGGGTGGGGTTTTTTTTTTTTGTTTTCTTCCACAAAGAGATTAGCTTTTCTATTGGTAATTCCAAACGTAATTGAATTCAGCCTTCATATACAGGATGTCTCTTCAGGAAGATGTGGGTCAAATAAGATTTCTTTCAGCTCCTTGCTTAGCTTGGATGAAAAGCTTGCTGCATGTTATGGGACATTTAAAGACATCCAAGACTTCAGGGGTGTATGTTGCTAATGCAGAGCTGCAAACGCGTGAACTTGTGTCAGCGCTAGGTTACAACATCAGCGGTGTATGACTTCCAGGCACCATTTCTGCAGGGGAGCAGGCACTGCAGTGCAGGAGCATGGGATGAAAAGGATCTTCTGGATCTTTGAGTGCCCGGTTGCCAGGTATCACACTGTAAGTTCCAGTTTACATTAGTGAGGTGTTTTCCCCCTCTCCAGCTCTTAAAAAACCTCACTGCTCTCCCATGCTTAGCAACCTCTTTAACTTCCAGTCCTCATTAGTTTATGGGAAATTTATGCTAGTGTATTCTTGGACTATATTTCACTGGAGATCAAGCGGGAGATTTCCTGCCTTGTCTCTCTCTCTCTCTGTCTCTAGTGTTCTGGTGCATTTCCAGAAGGAGGTCATAGCCTGTCAGGCTTGACTTTGCACAGTTAAACCAGCCCACTTCTTCTAATCTCCATTCTCACAGTGCATTCTCTTCTTTATCCTTGTGTCTTTTCTCTGCACTTGTGTTTTCACTTAACTTTTCAAAATGTGGGTCACCGGCACTATACACTCTTGTTCCAGACGAGGTTGTAGTGATGTATAATGAAAATGGTATTTCCTGTCTTGACTGGCAGTGTATGATATAGCATACTTCTTTTTTGTATAGTGCATCCTGCTGCATCCTAGATCACCTGATACATATACACCAGGCTGCCTTTTTCTCAGTTGTCAACTTGAGATCTTCCAGTTCATAGCAAAAGTAGCTTTCAATTGTGTGATCTTTCAGTTAGTAATACGAAGTTTCATCCCATTTCCGTTGCTGTAGTTTGGCTGTTATTAGTCCCCAAGTGCATGCTTATGCATTTAGTAATGTTGAATTTCATCCCATTTCTATTACTCCACTCCTCAAAATCACATGGTGCTCCCTTATGATATCCCAGTGCTCCTCCACAATGTTAATGCCTCCAAACTATAGCACAATCCTAAGGGATGTTTTCGATTTTGACAGCCTTATGTGGAATTTGAATGGCCTTTTATGTAACCATCCAAATTGTTACTCATAATAGTCATGCCTGAGTGCCTTTCTCGGGGCATATAGTACTGAATCGGGGCCTCTTTCATGCGTGTTATTTGCCCTCCCAGTCTTCCCCACTTTGTGTTGGTGATTGTCATGTAGCCATTTACTTTTGGAGTTGAATGGGAATATCCATGGGCTGAATTGATCCCCAATACGTTTGGGTAAGTGAGTGGCAACATCACTGCATTTGTTCCCATTTCCAATGGTAATTCAACCATAATCTGCAAAGCAAATGAAATAACTGCAGCAGTAATTGAATTTGCTAAGGCTTTTCTACCCTGTAATAAAATTACTTCTGCTCAAATCAGCTAGAGAGTAGCAAGCCCCTGGCCTTTGCATCGTCTCTGGATTCTTGGCAATAAATGGGTTTGTGCTAAATCACAGCTGTTCAAAAATTCAGCTATGGAAAGCATCATTTTTCAGTTGTGAACTGGACATTCTAATATAAATTCCATATCTCTTTCTTTCAGAACATGCAATCTGGCATGTGCATTATATAACTAATATACAACACATAAAACATACTTTCATGAATGAAATAACAAATATTTAGCAAATGCTCTTAATCTGTACTTAATCTAATTTGTTTAGCACCTGGTATTTTCTCTTTCTAGGCTGTATTGCATTGTCTGTGGCCAGTGTGTTAATTTTTTTTAGTCCCACACTCAGTATAACACAATCAGTATTGATACAGAAATATCAAGACAAGAACTGCTCTGTGATGATTATTAGTGTGATAGACTATCAGGTTTGACAACGCCGCTGCTGTGAGTAGTCTATGCTAAGTCACTTAAGTAATTCAAATACTCTAAACAGGTGAAAAAAAATGACAGCTGCATCAGTATGGTGGCATATTTTAAGGACTGGGGAGGGTGGGGTTCACAGATCTAAAGTAGAAAGCAAATTCTGTGATGCCTCAGGTTTGTGGTCAGTGTGAAATCACTTTGCACATCTAGCCTGACTTTCCCCCCAGCCCTCAGTGGAGCAGGAAGGCTCTCTTACTGGCAGACTGCCCTTTTTCACTGAGAAATGAGAGAGAAAACACAGGAAGCATTATGCCTCATCCTCTGCAGAGAACTGAGCTCGGAGCATGCAGGACCCAGAGGCAGCACCTGCCTTTCCCATGTGTCCTAACAAAGCAGACCCAGGAGTGCTGCAGCCTGAGCTCTCTCTGTGTTCCCCTGGAAAAGGAGCTATTTGGCTGTTCCCTTAATACAGTGTGTTTGCCTCTGAATGAATGGGGGACAGAGAGAAGACCCAGCCACTTTGAGGAGTGCATCTGTTCGGGCTGAGTTTGTTAATGGTCTGTTCATTTTCCTCCATTGTGCCCGCAAGAGAAGGATAAAACTAAACTGAAGTACAAAACCTGGCATATGATACCTGCACACTTATATCCCTATTAATTATACGTTGACCTCAAGTAATCGGGGTAAACTTTGTGTAGAAGTCAAAGGAAAAAAGAGTCAGGTATTCCAGATCAACATTCCAACAGTATGTTGTTCGTTTCTTATCTGGAGTGTATGTTAGATGAAATAATGACAGTGCAGTGTTGGATTATTTTGAATGAGGTAAAAAGACCCCGTGTTTGAAACTGGCTGAGCACCAATTCCAGCCTTTGTCCCCCTGTTCCCAGTGAAGCAGCTTGTGATCCTTAGCCTAGACAACGCTTCAAGTTCATAACCATTCACAAAACTGGGAAATGCTGACCTTCTCTTGATCATTCAGTTTTCAACTTAAGCATGCATTTGCTTTGGTTCTATTTTTTTCCCCTCTGAGCATCTTGTTCCTGGAAGGAAATGAATCTTATGTGGTCCATATGATATTTTCCTAATGGGTTTTTTTTTCATGCCATAAAAATTAATGGAAAATATTCAGTGGAGGGAGAAGATAGAGTCTGTCAGGATGTTGCTAGTTTTCTGTAAATCAAAGCCAGGACCTGCAGAAAAACACATTGTGAAGAAAAGGCTTAGATAGATACTTATTTCGAAAACTTCAAATAAAAAGTCCCAGAATAATGTTAAATTCAAATAATGTTGAAATCTTTTTTTTTTTTTCCCCCCTTAGTTTTTTATCTTAAAAAAGAAACATTTTAATCTTCCAAGTCAGACTTACGGTAACGTCTTAACCACAGCATGCCAAAGCTGTTAGGTTATGTTAAAGTTTTGGCCAGAATCGGGACGTTTGTGCAAAGTACTCCCTCTTCCAATACAAAACAAAATAGTTGCTTGAATATTCTTTGCAGTGCTGTCATTTTTAAGGCTTTAATTTATTTTTTTTTTAAGAAGAAGAATCTAGTTTTTGTTGGGATTTTTCATGAGGTTTTTCCTTGGTATGCTGTAAACATCCACAGCCTTTTTTTGTGAAAGCCTTTTTCTGTTGTTGTGTATGGGAGATAAAGTCACAAAGTACAGTTTCATGCACCGGCATGTAACTGTCAGAAATGGTTCTGATGGAGATAGGCACTAGGAGGGGATTGCTAGTGACCACTGGACACTTAAATTACGTCCTTCTAAAGACTCATAAATAATTTATTTTTGAGTGTAGTGAAGTAAAACCACAAATCCACTAACACTGTTCTGTGTCTTGCAGAAAATACGGGGCAAAAGGATAGAGAAAGAAGGCAGAACATGAAGCTGTTCTGTTGTTAGAGCCAACTGGAAGCTCATTGGGAAAACTAAAAAGTTCCTTATGTCCACTCAAATACATGCCATTGCCCTGTGGGAAACTGTTTGCTGGCATAAAGGACACTTGGAAATTAAACATAACCTCTAACGACACAGCATTCTATTTGTGATGCTCAGTTGCAGGCTTAGCTTTGCAAATTGTTGATATTAACTTGAACAAGCATAGCACTATATTTATTATTCAAGAGGAGCATATATTTGGTGTTGAGAAATAAAGCCCTTCTCAGGGTTACACCTAAAGAATGTGAATAACTAATGTATGTTTATTTAGTTTATTTAGCCTCCTAAAGATCAGTTTCATGGCTGTTTTCCTGGAGGCTTTTGCAATGTTTTTTGGAGATACTGATGGTACTTAGTGATGTTAAGGAGCAATATTACGTTATGTTAAGAGCTGGACAAACCAGTATTAAGCACAGTACACATATCTTTATTTACCTGTCTGTATTGGAGTATGTTTAATAGGAAGTATGCTAAAGCAAAAGTAAATCTCTCTAGGAATGCATCTCATATATAAGCTTACCCTCATTTGAAACTTTCTAACTGTCAGCAAGAGAGTAAAGAAAACAATTTCCCTCTGTGGAATGCTGTCAGTAAGAGGACCTACACTGCAAACGAGCAGACAATCGTTTTGGCATATTTTTACCCTGGGCCCTTTTAGGGAAGGGTTAGCAATTCATTGGGTCATGTATTGATTAATTCTAGGCAGATTGTTTTTTATTCATAGGGTGTCTTGTGCGATAACGCAACTAATACATTTTACAGTGTGTTATACAGACCAAATGTAGTCCATCTTCCAAAAAAAAAAAAAAGTGAAAATTAGAACAACAGCCTCTCTTGCCAACAGAGTGACATCAGAAATGGTGTTTCTTAGCTAGGTTTAATTTTGGAGATTGTTTATGTTGCTTTGAGTTTATTTGGGCAGTAGCAAGCATGGACCAAGTTCCTAAAAAGGAAAGCATTGCTGAAAGCTGCAGAAAAAAGATTAAACGAAGTGGAAGCCATCCAGCTGAGTATCTTTGCTGTCCTTTGTAATACACTGTGCCACTAAGAAAATGATTGAAAAAGCTTTTGAAGTTAAGGGAAAATACTCAAATTTGTCCTTCTCAAATGGAAAACTCCATTTTAAAGGGACCTTTTGGTTAAGGCTATCCAACTAGAATGCCTAGAATTATTTCCTTAAAACAGCACTTAGGCGCCTGTGTATAAGTGGCCTAATTCTCAGAAGTACCAGGCATCCACCAAGAAAATCCTCAGGAGGCAGTAAGGCCTAGAATCACTCACCATCTTTGAATTGAGACCACCTGTACCGAGCTGTCTGAATGTAACTGTGATTGCTTCGGGCACCAGCTTTTAAAATGTTTGTTCTTTCGGCTCATGGTTGAACTTGCAGGTTTGCCCTGGTGCAGAGTTCAGAACTGAGGAGCGAGAGACTCCTCATCCATCTCCTGGAGGGATGCGGTCCCAGCTGCCATCTTCCAGCCAAAGTGTTGTGTTGGAAATCTGCTGTTGCTCCAGTGCTTTCTTTCCTCCTGTGGTTGTTTTTGTACACTGCTGCATTTCGTTTGCAGTGGAGTCAGCATCCTCATGCTCCATCCTACACTACTGCATCATTTAATTTGTCCTGCTCTCAGTTCACACCTCTAGTCACTGCTTTTTAAGGTGAAACTGCTGGATTCCAGTTATCATCCCCTGCAAACTGCACACAGTTCTCAGTTAACCATTTTCTACCTGTTTAAAACTAAAAGTTGCTCATGTGGAGGAGGCTAGGTTTAGTTTTGGGAGCTCACCCTTCTGGGTACCTCACATGTATCTGAGCAGATAGCCATGACTGCCAAAATTTTGTGTAAAGTGGACACAAATTTGAGTAGATAATGTTCGCTGCTGCTTTTTCAGGGTAGTTTTCTCCCTTTTTCTCAAGAGGCAGCCAAATGCAGTTCTTTTGCCTATTGGAGCTGTCACTAGCTAATTGCTAAGTCTTGTATTGAAGAAATAACTGTGTAAACACAGCAAGGAAAGAAAACAAAATACTTCTGTAATATGAATCTCTTAGCTGTAATTTCACGTCAGTGGTTTATACTCTCTGTGGTATGCTGGTGTCTCAGAGCATGGGACTTATTTGTGTTTGGGCTCTTGTTTGTGGTTTGCCTGGTGTGTAGTGGTGTGTGAAATACCAAAATGAGGCTTTGTAATTTAACTGATTGAAGGACCTGATAAACTGCAGGTAGTGCAGAACAGTCCTGCAGGGAAGGTAAATGCAGGTTGTCTTCATTTCAAGGATGTTCTAAATCAGGTGAAGGATCTCAGGTGAAAGTTTGGGTCCATAGTAACCCACAGAGGCGCCTTTATCGGAAGCACAAAATTATGTTTAATTGCAAAATAACATGTGTTGATTCCACCCGATGTTATTTTTAACTTACGTATTTAATGATTGATTTCTTAAAATGTACTCCTAAGGTCACATACTGCCATCTTGAGCTTCTCATACTGCTTCTAAGAAAACATTTCAGAGGAATATCTCACCGTTCGGTGAGGGATATCACGTAGATTTAGAAGCCAAGGAGTTATTTAGGGCCACATTTGTATCTCTGGATAACAAGATCATTGTGTAGGAAGACAAGGGGGTTTTGCCCAGCTCTTGTAGTGTGTGATGTTGAAATTCGTACTGCTCCTCAATTTTCCACTTGTTAGAAGGGACAATAATGCTTCTCCTTTTTAAAGCTCTTGAGATGCCCTGATAAAATCCTAGTTATGTAGGGAGCTGCAAATGAAGTTACACCTGCAAAAGTGTGAATTCCATTGCAAAAAAAGTTTGAATATATTATACAAAATTATGGGGGTTTTTTCTTTCATACTTTGTACACTTTATTTTTTTATATAGCTCAGTGAGAACTGAAAAATACCTGTAGGGTACTATCTAGAAACTGATTGTCAGATAAGATTCAATTATTTTGAAACAAAATAACTTCTTTCAGAGACTACTTCAGTTCATTCAGCAGCATTTATAGTCTTTTTTCAGAGGCATCATTTAAGAAAGTTGTATGCTGTCATCCTCTGCACGGTCCAAAGATGACTTACATTGCAAATTACAAATTTTGAGAATAAAGTGGCTGTTGTTTCATAATTGTTAGCTGCTTTGCAATTAATTTCATTAATGCTTTAAAGTGCCCCTTAAATGATTCACTGCCTGTTGTGACTGAATTCCTTGAAAAGCCTGTGAAAGAGTTTACAATTCACTTAATTTAAGTCAGCAGTGTCACTCTTGGAAGATGTTTTTTCAAGGAAATTGGTATCTCAAAACTGGAGTTGGGAAATAGCCTTAAATAAGGCTTAGCCAACTAGCAAGTAAACAGAGCTAATCTGAATGTTCCTATTTGTGAAACACTGAGATGGAAATCAGTACACACGTATGTTTTGAAATTATTCCTGTGTTTATAATAGTTACTCCTGTTACACAACTGAAACAAGCACTGTTAGCAAAGCATCCGCATTTTTTCAGTCTTTCAACGTAACGACCCAGATTGAGTCCATTATAGAAAAAAGTAGAACTGGCTGTTAAATATGAGCATGAAGTTAATGAATAATCTAGACTGTGCCTTGTGTTTAAGGCTCATTGTAACATAGTATTCACAAAGAAAACTGTACATAGTGTGCATTCACTGAGGATATTAAGTGACCACATGGTTGCAGTAACATGCTGCAGAGCAGTACTCATGGAAATGTCACTGTCCGTCTCGGTGTATAATGGAATTTTTGTATCTGCTTTGTCTTCGGCAACCAAAATTGCTGCTGTGGGTACTGTATATGCATGTGAGGTATGTAGGATCAAGCATGACTGAGAAGGATCATCTGATCTGAACCCAGAGATAATGCCTGAATCCTAGAGAAGACAGTAAGGTTATTTTGTCTGATTCAGAGCATCTAGAAGCATCTCTGCTCATCCAGATTTCCTAATTATAACAGTATTTGTTATCTTTTACTCTAGGAATGACTATACCAGAAGAAGACGCTGATGTGGGACAAGGTAGTAAATATTGCCTCGTGGCAATAGGAAGGCTTCAGGTAATGCCAGTCTTTCTTTATATAAACTACTGAAAGCATAATCAGTCTTGTGCTTTAGTTGTAAAGTATTTGCACGAAGTTCTGGTACTAGGCTGTAACTTTTTACATGCCTCCAAAATACAAAGTGCCTTGATGTCGGTGTGCAGCCAGTGATTTATAGAATCATAGAATGGTTTGTGTTGGAAGGGACCTTAAAGATCATCTAGTTCCAACCACCCTGCTATGGGCAGAACTTGTTTAGAACATGTCAACAGAGCAAAATGAATATGTGATTTTGCTGCATTTGTGTATTTAACCCAACAACAGTAGCAAAGGTTCTTCTGGACCATGAGCATGTAGAGGCCTGCTACTCTCTGGGTGCACAGGGCTGGGATATTCTAGATTGTGAGAAATGTGGTAGTACAGGTGCTGCAGATGGTAGGTTAAAGTGGTTCTCAAGGCCAGTGACATGTTCCCTGCTGTTCTTTCATTCATTCTCTCTCTCTGGCTAATCAACTACTTGAAAAACTGTGATTGCAGGAGTTACTCTGAAAATGGTAAAGATAGGGCAGTCAAGAGACACTTCACGAATAATGGCTTTATTCTCAGTTTGTATTATAGTGTGCATTCAGATGTGATGTCAGCCGAGGGAACTGTGAGAATAAAATTTTACTTCCTTTTTGTCCAGATGGTTGCAATTGATGTATTGCATTTTCTTTCTTTGTTCACTGCTGATGAGAATTCTAAGTGGGAGCTAGACCAGTCACGGTGAATCTCCTTCACCGCAGCAGGGAGGCTAGTTTTTATCTTCCTGGTCTGGGAATTGTGCCATGGGTGAACATGTTTGAGCCTCCTGCATGATGTCCTGTTGGCCTGCACTCATTGCCATCTGCTAGGATGGCATTGCTCCTTCTGACAAAGTAGAGTGACCCTTTCATTAGAGCACAGGTGCCAAACCCATCTTACTTGAGTGAACAGCCTGCACGTTAGTGCAGTGTTAACACTTCTGCAGAGTGTGTCTCCATTGTGATGGCAGAGCTACAAAAGTATTGCATGATGTTTTTTAGGTTAATCATGCTTTTATAATCAAGGGTAATATATTCCACTGATGAAGAGAAGGAAGTTATGGGGATTCATATGTTACAGCTGCCAAAGAAAGATGATTTCCGAGAAAATCACATTAGTAACATGTGGAGTATCAAAACATCTGTTATGTTAGAAGACCCAGCAGGGTATGTGAGGGAGGGCAGGAAGAGGCGCTGGGGACGGGTTTTTAATCACAAAGGAGTCAAGGTGCACAGATTATAAACTCTGCTCTGTAACAGCAAATTGAAATCTTGCGTACTGTTAACTGCCTAATCTGCTTCAGGACAGCAACAATAGGGTACGAAGTGGCCTGATTGCACAGGTTTCAGGCAGAGAGCTGGAAATGTATCATTCTCCCTGATGAGCTTTGAGGAGCATTTACAGGAGAAGTGCATTTTTTCATTGTGAGCAGCCACTTGCTGGTCCAATATCATCATCACCTACCTCAGTCTCTGGAGAACTTTGTTCAGGTTCTCTGGGTGTTCTCAGATGACCCTCACCTGAAAGTCGAGTATTAGTCTGAGTTATTCCTATTGGATATGTTTACAGACAGTGAGTTGTCCTCTTATAGAGATTGACCTTCCCATCCTAAAATGGGTGGGTTGAATTGTCCTCTGGAAATCTCTTATTCTTGGTTGACAAGGGTAGGAACCAAGATGCCAAACTTTAACGTGGTCCCACAGAGTGAGATGAATTCAGCCATACTTATATCCCCCCTTGTTGGGAACTTCTGATGTATTTGTTTTCCTGCTGTGCTCTTAAGCCTAGATATGTGCCATGGGGTGAGATGTTTGCACTGCAAACTAGACTAAAGGTTGTTCTGTGTCATTTAGTCATGTTGTTGTTTTATTTACAACTTCCTTCAGTAGTTAGCAGTCAGCCAACAGATTTTATTCTTTAGCTATGTTATCAACTTTAACTTAAGGTGACTGTTTTGTGGACTAAATGCTGTGGACTTCATTGGTCTTAGGTAACTAGCTCTCCAGTGTGCATGGACATGAATGGCATGTCGGTCCCAACTGAGTTTTTGTCTAGACACAATTCTGATGGAGTCATCACCTTTGTCGACCCAAGGTGCATCAGCGTCATTGGCTACCAGCCCCAGGTCAGTGAGTTGCTGTAAATGCAGAGACTGATTAGAGCCAATAAATAAAGTTCTGTTTCCACATTAAAAACAAAAGCAGCAAAACCTAAAGTATTTGTAGCTGATAATTCATGTCGTGCACTAAATGCTGTTCATTTTTCTTTACTGTCCATGCCTCTAAAATTTATAGTATTCCCCTTTGTCATGCGGGATGTCTTTTTATACATTTTAGATCTGATTAGAATTCTAACAGCAAGATGCTTTAAACCTTGCACAGCTTTCCAGTGAAGACATTTCTATTATAGAAAGTTAACAGTGCTTGGAGAGAGTTTTAGTCGTGTAGGTCTTTACTTCCTCCAATCTATTGAACAGTAAGCAAACATCATTTATGGCATCTATTTTCCCTTAGGCTTGCATCTGCTCCTCTGTATAGGAGGCTAGTCGCAGAACTAAGTAGAACAGTAAATTATCTCCTGACTGCCACAATTCTCCCTCGGATAAGTCTCAACAGTTGCAATTTACAGGCAAAAATAATTTCTTGCTCATTAAATTTTCCCATTTATTTTGATTTTTCGTAGCTTTATAGTAACTGTTTTTACAAAAATTAGTTCCATAAAACGACCTGTAGTAGAGGATGTCAGTCTCTTCAAGATACCATTTCACAGGTATTAAAAAAATCACTTAAAATTTGTTTTAAATACATATATCTGTACAACAGTACAAATATAATGTGGGGCACGATGCCTACAAACCTTGTTTGTATGATTCATCCCCAATTAACTGAGTAGTCTAGTACTCAGGGTGGTAGATCTAGTATCTGCAAGGATTACTTGCAGATCTGCACGCGGATTTGTGTTGTGGTCTGAGTTTTTTTTACACAGCTTTACGTTTTATTCTAGGATCTTCTGGGGAAAGATATTTTAGAATTCTGCCATCCTGAAGATCAAAGCCATCTGAGGGAGAGTTTCCAACAGGTGCTGTGTCCTGCTCCTTTTTTTCTGCCATTTATTTATTATTTTTGTTGTTGTTTTGTTCAGAGAAGTAGCTTTTCTTTTTCATTTCAAGGTATTTTTTCAGTTATGCAGGAGAAGGAGTGGCAAGATATGAAACAATTTGTTGATCAGTTACTAATCAGTTAAGCTGTATAAATAGTAGTTTAAACTGCAGGATCTGTTTGCTGTGTTTTCAGAAATAAGTCACCTAATTATACATTTTGTTTTCTTTTTACAAAAAATTAGATGAATGTTCACTACACAGTTAGAGCTGTTTTGGAGGTGCCTGTGTAGCTCTCACTATGTTAAGTGGTAACCAAAAGTATGTACCTTCCAAGGTAGGCTGTTGATTTGAAAGTAGTTACACTCCTCTGTAATGCTGGATTGTTTATGACCTAAATTCTCTGCTAGTGTAGATGACATGCTTCATACTTTAATGGAGTTACACCACTTTACATCAGTAGAGAATTTGGCCCTTCTCCCTATTAGGAATTGAAATGCAGACAGAAGTAACAAGAAATACAACATATGGAAAGAGTTACTGATCTGGATGTGTTTCTAGAGTGGGCCACATTTACATCAGCTATAGCAAAGGCATTTATTCCATTGTAGAGCTTATTGCTTCAAATCGATCTGGGACATACACTAGGAGTGTTTTCCCCAAGCCTCCTGCTTGTTGCTGGTCTTTTCAGTGCCTTCCCTACTGCACTAGAAAGCACGGTGTAGTATGCTTAACCAATTATTGAGGTTCAGATGATCTAAGTGGTTCCAGATTTTCTGACAACAGCCTGTAGCTCAACCAAGTTTTGTTGATCCATCTTGCGTTGGATGCTGAGATGTACTTTCAGCTGTGAAACATGGATATGAAGTGACTTCTAAAATAATTTGTATAGCCAACTATTTATTCAGGCATGGCATGCAAAAACAGAGATTGAAAAGCCTCTCTGGGGAAAACAATTAAATCTGTGTCCATAGAATAGATTGTGAAACTGAGGTTACGGTCTCTACAGAAGTGTTTGGGATAGTGTAAGATGTTAGTACTCTCGAACTATTTCTCAGCACCCCCTCCCTCAAGTGCACACTACCAACCCCATTGCTGAGCTAGCAGAAAAGACTGTGTGAGCGCTCTGCATCCACTTCATGTCCCTTGAATGGACTGAGTTCACACGGCAGCTAAAGACCTTTTAAATTCAAGATGTTGATTCACAGGCTTGAAACGGGTCACCACACCCAGTCATCTTCTCTGCCCTACCTTGTTTGGGGGTGTGATGCTGCAGCTGAACCTACCTGGTAGGTAGCTGTCACCAGGAGTCGGGTCCTACTCCCACTTCTCTCCTCCTGACTTCCTCCCCACCCTTCCTACTGTCCTGATACTAGCACAGATGGACTTGCTGGGTAGGCTAGCTAAGGAACTAATTGCTTTTGCATGGGACTAGCTTTCAGCTGGTTCTGCTCCCTGAACTTGTGCCTGATCACACCAGTGGTGCAGGAAGAGCAGCGAGAACGCATACATTGTTTTTCACGAATGCCCAAATGATTGATTCCACTAATTTATCCAAGACACAACAACAGAGAGCTGCTGGATAATAACACTTCAAACATTCGTCTCTGAAGTGATTGCCTGGGGCTCAGAAGGGCTGGCCAACTAACATTCACGTTAATGACTTGGTCCTCGCTGTGTTCACCGAGAGTGAGATCAGGCCATGGGAGGCTGCTGGTGTATCCCTGAACTCAGCTGCTGGGGACTTTGCTGTCATACTCACTGTTAGGCATGTGCATAAATGATTTGCTGGAGCAGGGACCTACATGATTTGCTTAAGGTCATACAAAAAGACAGCAGAAAAAAATGCAGATTAGAAGTGAAAGTTTCTGTTCACTTGACCTGTGTCCAATCTATGAAAATATTGTGCTGTTTCTTTAGTAGGCAATTCCTTTTTCAGTATATTTTTGTTCAGTACAGTAGCAGTGTGATTGGAGCTGTTATTTCAACCATGCAATAAAAGACTGAAGTAAACAGTTAAGCTGTGCACCAGGTGGTTTTTATTTCCAAAGAATGTAAAAAACTAAAGATTAAACATTAGGTTTGAAATTTTTTATGCTGTCTTGTTTGTGTGCGCTGTTTTAAGACGTTCAGGATTTTCCCACCAGCAATCTCTATATGCTTTATGTATTATTACAGAATTAGTGTTTTCTTAATTCAGACTTCAGGACAATAGATCACTGTGGTTTGTTTTATTATTGTTAGTTTGGCCTCAGAAATCTTTTCATTAAAAAGGTAACTGTGATTTCCAATAAGCTCTCTTTTTTTTTTTTTTTTCCCCTAAAACCCTCTGAAAATGACATTTCTAATTTGCTGACAGTATCAGAACCAGGTTTGTGCATAACAGAGGAGGGAGGGAGGGAGGGTTTTGCAGGTTTTGGTCAATTGCCAGTATCCATCTCAAAGCTTTTACTTCCTTGGGAAGATAAATTCATTCATCAGGGTGGGAAAATCAGGCCAGAATAAGATAGTCTTAAGGCCAAGATCAACAAATAGAGTTTAATATCAAAGGATCCAGAATACAGCTATTTGATATCCAGTAGGATGCTATTCAGATTGGACACTTTTACACAGGCTCTGTGTTTTTTTACCCTGGGTGTGGTAGTAGAAAATTGCTGATAAAAGAATGTCGCTCACTGAACTCAAACTACAAAAGCATTTTAAAAAAAAACAACCCAAAAGACATTTACCTCAGTATTATTTTGAACTTTTCTGGGCATTGCTAAAGCTTTTTGTGTCTTCTGTTTGCATTCATTCCATTTAATCCTGTATCCAATTGATTGATTTGAAGTGCAGACCTTTGGAAAAAAACAGGATTGGAGCATTTTTCCTAATCCAATTGGTTGTTGATAAAGACAGAGAGTAAATACTGGGTTTTCTACTTTTAGAGAATACAGGCTGCAGATAGCTAATAAAAAATAAATTCCAGTGGATAAGGATTAAGAATCCACAACGAGATGTGGCACTTACTTGCAGTAGACCTTCCCTTTCCTTCCCTGAGGCACCCTGAGATAACTTGGTGGAAAAGCAATAAAAAATAAACACAGATAGCCCAGGTAAGTGCCAGCTGAATGACTTAAAACCATATAAGTTTTCTTCTGACTTAAACCAAGATTGTTAGATAACGCATAAAATGCAGTTACAGTGCCAAGTGTGCAATATTGTTTTGAGCGTACTTCTTTCGCTGGCTGCTTCTTACTTCTCACTTGATGCCAACTATTGACTTCCAACAAAACTTCAGCTACCAAAGACAGAATTTGAACTGAGTATTGCCAGACATTTGAATTCTTAGTCATAAACAAATAGGCTGCCCAAGCAAAGAGTTTTTGCTCAGTTTTCATTAATACTATTAAAATGGACAGTGGCTTATTGGTGTTCTCTCCATTCAAAGGCTGGCTCACTCTTTCTTGTTTTGAAAGCCAGAAGCAAGTGTTTCTTGTTAGTACTTTGCCATCATAGATGGACTTAAAATGTGTTGGGGGAAAAAACACAAAACAACCATGTATGGTTTCTAAAAAAAGCAGTTTTTCCTAAGTATTATCCTAAATTTTGATGCTGATGTGTGATTTGGTATATCACGTATATGAATTGTGTAGCTAGGTATCCAAGCAGAAAAGCAGATGGTTAACCTAAAAATGTTTTTTCTTGTGGCCTTTTGCTTCAGCAGCAATATTTGGTTTATATTTTGCATATAAACCTTTAAAAGATCCTCAGTTTGGTTTCTGTCAATCTCTCAATAAACGTTCCACATAAAACCTTCTTAAAGCTTCCCTGCTGGGATAACAGCACAACCTGTTGGTTGTCCTGAATCTGTATTCTTCTTATATGCAAGCTGGAAAATGGCATTTTATACAACAAAGCATGAGGGTTTCATTCTGAAGGAAATAGCCGCAAACATGAATCAGATTTTGCTTATTCTCTTCAAATTAAGAATCTCCCTGCAGTGTCCATAGCATTCTGTAATTCAAGTTTAAAACACACCAGTTATTGCTGTTTACTACTCATTTGCACAGCAGGTAGCAATCTCCTTTTATTAACCTCTCCAAATGGCTTTGCAGGTTGTAAAACTGAAAGGTCAAGTCCTGTCTGTGATGTATCGTTTTCGTACCAAAAACCGGGAATGGATGCTGATCAGAACCAGCAGCTTCACGTTTCAGAATCCTTATTCCGATGAGATTGAATACATCATCTGCACCAACACTAATGTAAAGTATGTGCCTTTCCAGATGCTTGTGTATGTGGTTTTGAAAGAATTTAAGCATTGCTTTTTGCTGTAAAGCACGTTCCAATTTTTTGGTAGCCTGTTTCTAGCTACATTTGTTTCTCTATAACAGCACAGTCTGTAACAGGGGTTTTCTGCATCATGAGCTCTCACAGCATAGCTGTTTCTCTGTGTCATTATCCTGTGATGCTTCCAGGGCCTGGCTGCACTGGGGGAGAAACGTCACTTATCTGTTATGTCAGTAGACAAGCCCATTGATCTCAGTCCAGGCTGCCTTAAACTAGCACAGAGCTTCCAGCAGCAGACCAGCTGCCCAGCTGATATTGGAGGAAGGTTAGCCTGATTCCTAAGCCAAAGAGAAAATTGCGTGTTCATGTGCATTGTGATCGTTACCATTCCGTAGTCCTGGGCATCTTCTCCTTGAGCTGTGTGTACTCTTACAGCCTATGAAAGCTGGCAAAATGATTTCCTAGTAGGCTTCAGCGGGAAGGGTTCCTGATACTCAGTTAAGATCTAGTGGAATATCCCCAAGTATGGGGACAGATCCAACCCCTTATCTTAAGAGGGAAATTAAATCATCCTGTCTTTGAGTTAATATTTTCAAAAATCTGTCACTGGACCTCTTAAGAGGAGGTCACCGTAGGAGTATGGTGGAGGTTCGTCACTGTGTGACTGAGCAGAGGTGCTTTTAGAGCCTCCCGAGTTCTAAGCCAGTAACTGCAGAAGCTAATCTGGCCTTGATAAAGCCATTACTTTATAGTGTGTGGGGGGGTTATAAATATTTCTTCTTTCCAATATAAACTTAACCTATTTCTAAAACAAAATCTGCTTCTGGTCTGACCAAAGATTTTTTGCCAAGTTTTTAGCTCAGAGGAAGTTACTGGTTTTAAGATCTCAACCTGTTAGACTGTATAATGGAAATGCTGAAAGAGCAGTCTACTGGTGGAGATGCATGCTGAGAGCTCCACTTGCAAAACCAAACCCCTGGGGCTTTGGCATTCAACTTAGAAAGCTAATGTCTCTGCGTGTTCCTTGACTTGCTCCTTTGGACATGACACACACCTGGACTAGAAGGGCTGTGCTTTCACTCACTTGAAACCCAGCAACACAATAGTTTTGCTCAGTTTTTTCTGCATACTGAAAAAGTCAGGCTTGAACAGCTGAATAGTTAAGCTCACTGAAAACGAGCAAACGTGTCTTGAAATCAGACAGCTAATATCCCCCTGTCTGCACTGTGCATCAAAATAGATATTTCCACACTTCTGCTGTCCCATATTTGTTTTCCAGATAATTTGTATATGCAAAAACAGGCCTGCAAAATAAAAAGTGACTTCTGAAATCTGTCCCAGGCTGGCTTAATTGTGCTTTGTTCCCAAGAGTCCACAGATCAAAAAGTGGGGCTGTAGACTTACGTTGTGTTGACTCTGGGAATGTTTTTTTCTGAGCCTCCACTATACTGTTCAGCTTGGCATGGCAGCACTTACTGTGATGAATAGGACTGTGCCAGCTTCTGGCTCTTGTTATATCTCTCTTGCTAGGTTTGAATAACAACTCAGAGATGTTGACCTAATATGGAAGTTGCCTGCTGCTACTTTGACAGAGGATGTTCCCTCTTTTCTGTCATGTAGAAAATGTTCTAGTCTTATGGCAAGATACAACCCATTATATGTCTGCTTTTGAATAGTAGAAAGAATGCATTATTCAAACTGTTTTCTGTTTTTTCCGCGTTTGTTCCACTTCTCAGACAGATTTCCAAGGACGACTGCTGTAGTATACTGCTGTTCCTGCCTGTTTGTGGATTTTTACTTTTTTTTTCTTTTTTTTTTTTTTTTCTTTTTTTTTTTTTCCTACATTTGAGGTCGTGTTTTGACTTCTGATTTCCTAGATGCCTTGCAGAGTTGTACGTCATGGTGACTGTTGATTTCCACCTCCTCATTCAGCTCCTGCTGGGGCTAGATGTTCGGTACTGACCCCAGTGTACGTGGCCATTTTTACATGTCAGTGGAAGTATCAGATGCTCTGGGTCCAGCAAAGTGCTTCACGTGGAGACCGAACAGGGGTGCCTTCCACTGCGCAGTTGTAGGCAGTTCTGCAGAGACAGATTTTGATTTCTCTGTCGCTGTGGTAACCTAGCCAGCTCCATAAAATACAGGTTTGAGGCAGTTAAAAATTCATCACGAAATTGTAAATGCAACGTTGCCAAAAGCTGTAGGTTTAAATCAGCTTTTAACTTAAGATATTTTAAAGCCACAGTACATACGTCGGTGTGTCTGTCTGTTAACAGAATAGCTCTTGTTTTGCCTTGGTCAGTGAACAGCATTTTCCCGAAAGACTGTAGAGGGCAGTGGTGGTTCCAGTTGTGGAGGGATTAATTGATTTTTTGTTGTTGTTTGTTTGATTTGTTTGGTTTGGGGTTTTTTTTTCTTTCTTTCTTTTTTTTTTTTTTTTTAAAGATACTCCTTTGGAGCTTCAAACAGCCAACTTTCCTAACTTGCTTTTGATGCGGAAGGATAACGAAACATTAGGTTCAAATGTTCACTTAGTTCCTTGCAAAAAAAAGAAAAGAAAACTTACTCTCAGTTTCACTTGGGTGTAGTCATCCAAGAGAAACTTCCTGGAGAAATGAAGCATTTAACGTTTAGCATTTGTGCTAGGTTCGGCTGAAAAGAAGAGTTCCCTCATTTGACCACATCTTCCTGTGTAGTTGGGACTGTTCGATTTCCAAAAAGAAATAATTATTGTGGTCAGCGTTTATTTAACATAGACATAGAGCAGCATTTGAATGAATTAATCTGTCATGTTGATAGATAAAACTATATAAAAGTCTTTGTATATCTAGAAGAAAGATATTTTTCTGACCTTTATGGAAATTTTGATGTTTCGTTTTTGTATTCCCGAAGTCCAATGCTGCACTGCATGCATTTATGAATCCTACAGTTGTCCTGAGTCTCAAGACTTTTGTCTCAGAGTGAGCTGGCACAGGTCACTGCTGGAGGCAGCCTGTCAGATGAATCAGCCCATGCTTGTAGGAGAGATGCTTTCTGTTTCGCATTCTCATGGGCCAAAATACTAAAGAGATCAACTATTCTGATAAAATTCCAGTCTACAGTAGTGATGCTAACGACTTACTTTCTCATGATCCCAGTGCTATCTGTGGACTATCTGATCCCTCAAGGCCAGTGTAAGACAGACCCTTTCACAGGGGTGACTTTGAAACTGTAGGCTAAAAAGGGGGAGATTTTGAGAGATTCTGAAAGAGGATTTTAGAACAGCAGCCCCAGGGCTTTTATTACTCCCTTTTTGTCCAAACCAGACACAGGAAGCACGTGCGCCTGTATTACATAAAAATAGCTTGGTAGGGATGCAGTAATATTTTTTTCTCTCCCACCATAGAGACTTGATTTTGAAGTTCAGATCCTTTTTTGGTTACTCTGATGCCTGGAAGAGAAACAGGTGACTTCATGTTCATATAGAGATTAATTTGGCTGAAATGTCTCCAGTGCCGAAGGAACTTTCACAGAATCTTCCCTTTTCCTCGAAATACATTTACTGAAGTAAATTTGAATTAACTATCAAAACCTTCAGATTCGCTGAACCATTCCTTGTTCAAGCCAAGGGGCTTTCCCAGTTTCATACAGAACCTGTGGGTGAGCCAGGCGTTCCTGCAGTACAGGCAGTCCTCTGTTGACCTTGACAATACTTTACTCACTATGTTGGGTATCCTGTAGAGCCAGGAAATTTCTTTTTCATTTACTCCTTGAAGCTGTGAAACTGAAATTGACACCAAGAATAGTTCGGGTTTTGGTTTCAAATTCAGAAGGCAGTTTGAGTTTTGTCCAAACCGGTAATAAGCTCTTGTTCTGTATCATCTTTACAAAAGTGATCCAGCAATTGGGTGACTGAAGGGACCTGCATGTGTTGACTGTTCAGTCAAAAGGGCTGGCTAGATGGCAAGGTCTGAGGCAGCCACAACAGCCGCGCTCAGCTCTCCCTGGTCAGCTGGTCCATGAATTGCTGCACAGTTTCTTTCAGGCTGCAAGCATCATTTCAACTACTTATACAGTAGCAGCAAACAGCAGCAGAAGATGCTAACCTGGCTTCACATTTCAGTCTTAATGAAGTGCAGCATAGCTTGCACAGAGTTCTGTGAAGATACACTTAAGTATTTGGGTTTTACAGGAAATGGATTTGGGAGGTTGTTCCCAAAGTTCAGTGCTGTTAACACAATGTGGTATTTATATTGTACTGCAGCTTAACGAGTATTAGAGATGAAAGATAGAGAAGGGCGAAGGAGCACTAAGTTAGAAGTGCCTACAAAACAAATAACTAGTAAGTATGCTGTTTTGTTTGGCTCATTTGTATGTATATGGCTGAATCAAGAAAACATACTTTATACAGAACAGAAGAGACCTAATGTGCTGTTTATTGACACACGCACCAAGTTGTTGGTAATAAAAACAAATGAAACAGTGTAATTAGCTTTCACGTTAACAACAGGATTTAATGGGTGTTTATTGTCCACAGGGTGGTATTTAGAAAAACTTCCCCATAGATTTGCCATGATTAAATTACCTCCTATAGTTCTGTTGGAAAAGAATGCATTTTAAGCTTGCGAACAAAGAATTTCTTTGCATTCCAGAGGTAATTCTTAGGAATTTTCTGTTGGCTAAAATAATGTGGAAAATCCATGGCTCTCTAATGACCTGGAGGACTGACTTATTTTGCATGTTACTCATAGCACAAAAGTGATTCTGTGTACTATGTGTTTTTGCCCCATAAAGCTAGCAGAAGGCTTTTGGCCATCTACTCTACTCTTCTGTTTGTTGCAGGTCAGGAATTTCTTTCCAATTTGCCATGCAGCCTAGTAGCCAGTGTCTGAGCAAAGTGTCTTCTGGAAAAGCATCATGGGATAGAAAATCTGTTACTGACTTCAGTAGCTTGTTTGAGTGGTCCCTCACATTCCCATCACTTTGTGCCTAATTTGTCATTTGACTTTGTCTGCAAGTTTGTCTCTCAGTACCTTGATATTCGGATCTATCTAGTTCAAAATTTAAAAGAAGATTTGGATAAAAATCTAAAATTCAAGCCTGTGGCGAAAAACGTATCCTAATTATCCAGTTTCAAATTCATGATCTTGCTATTTTGCAAAATCTCTTCTATTACCGCCCGTCACATTATAGTGTCTCTTTGGGGGAAAACCCACGTGGTATGTAATTCCTGTCCGTTAGGTGGTTTTTCCTTCAGAAGGAGGCCAGAAGCATACAGAAACTGTGACCACTGTCAAGTATCATTTGCAAGTATCAAGCTTACTTTCTTGTCAGTCCCAATTTATCCTAATCTCTGAGCTTTGGCATAATTTGCGGGTGCTTATATTTTCTTTGCTAACTGAGCAAAGAGCCTCACAGAGATAGTATGCTACCTGCACATCCTCTTGCTAATCTTGCTAATTGTGATCAAGCGATGGAAAGCAAACTTTTAGATAATTTTGCAGCTGCTGGGGTTTTTTGTCATTACATAGGCAGTCTCTGAGATGCTGCAATGCCAGCAAGCTCCCAGCTTCACCCTAGGGACTGGTTTGGTGCCCTTCATGGTATTGGCCCATGCCAGAGCAAGAGACTATGCCTTCTCCATGGCAGTGATGCTTCTTCAGACAAGGGCCACGGCAGAACCTTTCCTTTTTACAGGGAAATCTCAAGTTGTTGTGCCTGCGTATCAGCTGGCCTGTTGGCTGCAAGCTGCTTTCAACACCGAGTTGTGAAGTGAAGGTGATGCTGTGGCCGTGCTCTTCAGGGCTGTTGCTTGTTCAGGCTGCAGCCTGGGCGCAGCTCAAACCCAGCACTGTGCTGGCAAGATCATGTGGCTCTCGTGCTCTGCCGTCCCAGCTCAGTGTTGGGACAAAGCTGGGTTTGTTTGCAAACAATCTCACAAACCTATGCTCAGACAAGTGAGGTTCCTAATGACCTGGTGTGGGGATGGTATAAGTCCAAACAAGAAAGCAGAAGTTCACATTTTAATGGTAAAATTCTGGTCTTAATGCATCAGTAGCACTTTTGCCTTTCATTTCAAAAGGATTGGGTTTTATTTCCGATAAACTGTACTGCACAGTGGCTTTTTGTGTAGAAGTTGTTTTGTTGCAGTAGCTTCAAAATTTCCAATAGCAACAATTAATGTAACTGTCTCTGAATTTTTTTTATTTTTTTTTTAAATTAGGAGCTTTGAATTTGTGTCCTTTCAGAATTAAAAACAGCAAGTGAAGAAACGGATTCAGAAGATCACTGTGCTAGATATATTACAACTCTATAAAAGATCTGTACATTTTTATAAATGGCAATATTTGCACATGTAGAATGTGAATATGTCTGACTTACCACCACTTGCATGCTGTTCCTACAGGTCACCTGCCAGTTAATTCTCATGACTTCCAATAATTTTATCTGTTGATACTGGCTAATTGTCATAGCTAAGTAACAGAGCCTGACACTAAACACAAATCAAGTGTATTTCAAGAATCTGCAGAGTTTTCAACACTAGAATTCTTCATTCTGGCGTATGGCCCCTAACATTTATTAGCTCTGGCAGTTTCTTTTGAAGTATTTTTCTGTTGCTGCTGCACATTTAATTTTTCCTAAATTTATATAATTGGATTAAGGCTATTACTTCCAGTGATTTTTGTCTCATTTAAACAACGGATATTTTTTGTTCAGTTCTGATTAGCGTGAAAAGGACACTTGTGTTTTCTGTAGCATTCGTCAACACAGATTTATTTTCCGTAATGTCTTGATTTTATATAGTAGCACAAGCACTTTCTTTCTGGACATTCACTGCCTTAAAAGCTTTCAAAAATTGAATAGAATCTGGACTTGGATCCTGAGGAGAGTAGAACCAAAGCAAGTTAAATGGGTTTTATTAGAAAGAAGGATTTATATGCAGTTCTTTCTAGCTCAACAGGTTGTTCCATTTGGTCTGACATGATTCAGACAGAGCTTTGATCACTTTTTCTTATTGGCTGGCATAATTCTGCATTAATGTTACTGGAGGTTTCCTGTTTACTTCAGTAGAGTCAGTGAAGGGATCTGGTATATTCATCATTAATATGAGGGAGACATTCTTGGTGTCTTAGTAGTGAATCCTTAAATTGTTTATAAAGAGGTTGTATTCCATCCTCCATTACTTACCCACCTACATTTCTGTGCTATTACAGCAGAACTCTTCATGTGCCCTGTTACATTCCTGTGGTGCAAGCTTTCTCAACAAGAAAGCTATAAAAACACATGAATCTTGCAGGAAAGGATTTACTAAATCATCTGAGAGACATTTCACTCAGAGTATAAAATAGGAGACCATGTCTGTTCCTTTTTGTATCTTAACTGGTTTTCGTAATGAAGTCATTTTGTCTCCTTTGCAGACAACTTCAGCAGCAGCAAGCAGAACTTGAAGTACATCAAAGAGATGGGCTGTCATCCTATGACTTATCTCAGGTGAAATTTCTCAAGTTTTTATTTTTGTGCCTCTGATCTTTTAAAACAGAAAGCAATGGGAGATTTCAGCAAAATTAAAAATACATTGTGACTGTCCCGGAATTCCTTTTTGTCCAATATGATGGAGGGAATTACCTTCCTCTGTGTATCTCAACAGGTGCCTGTTCCAAGTATACCAGCTAATGTTCATGAGGGTGGAAAGTCTGTGGAAAAGCCTGATGCTATCTTCTCCCAGGAGAGAGATCCTAGATTTGCTGAGATGTTTGCTGGAATAACTGCTTGTAAGTGAATGTCTCCGATGTTTAATTTTTAATACTATATTAAGCTTGGTTACATCATGTGGAGCACAGCTTCAAGAGAAGGAAGAGAAACTACAATGTGGCAGAGAAATTTCCAAGCAACGTCAGTCTTCAGGATGTTTCCTAGAATTTGCCTTTAGTTGATATTTCCTCTAAAGATGATGAAGAGTAAATTCAAGGAGGGAAGGACAGCTTTCGTGTCACCACCAGAGCTACCTATTTTTGATTCTCTTTTCATTTCACCAGGGCACCTTAAGCAGTGTTCATAGATGCTAAACATACTGAGCAGAACTTGCTGTTTCTAAGTACATATTTTCTTTCTGGAACAGCAGGTATGAGTTCATATCTCTAAATAGATGTGAATTAAGAAAGTTACCATGTAGTCTTAAGATAGGCCTGCAGTTTTTTATCAAATTACCAGCTTTTGCATTGATGCTTTCAGAGGCATATGCTGCCTTGAGGTGTAATAATATACTTGTTTTCTGGTCAGTTCAGGCATCTCCAGTCACGTTACCTGTCACTGAGTCCTTGCTCTTTTTCCCACAACTTTTGAACTTGTTGGCAAGTTCTTAGAAGAGTGATAGGAGTCTCAGAAATAGTATGTTCTTCTATGTTTCGTGAAAACTACTGTGAGAACAGAGTCCTTGCTGAGTACCATTACCAAAGGATTTCCAAGCCCTCTTCTAAGAGGTAGCAGCCAATTTGTCAGTCAGACAGACGTAGCTGACTCAAACTAGCCCCAGCCTATGCTGCCTGTTGCCCTAACAGACAGAAGTCATTGAGAAGACTGGCAGCTGAAGGGGTGACCCGAAATATATCTGTAGGAAACCAGGCTCATTAATTCCACTGCTGGTGGAAGAATTCATTAATTGTTTATTGTTCTTAACTGTCCTCACTGAAAAAGAGAAGTTTTTACATTTGTTTTAAATAAATCAACGTGCAAGTGTCACGCAGTGCGTGAAGGAAACGACCCACAGAGTTGGACTCCAGGGGTGCTGGGAGGTGACCTCACTGTATTGGTTTCTTATGTCTGGCTTGGCCTTTTCAAATGGAGAAGGCATTGTAACTGCAGGATAGACTTGATATTCTGTCCTCCTGTTGCTAGGACTTCTCTGGTTTTTTTCTGTTCATCCTTGTCTGTCTACTCTTAACAGTGAAGTCAACAGCTGAGGCCATAAAAGGGGTCCATTAGAAGGTAGCAAGACGCCAACCCTAAACACCAGAATGTGTTTTTCCAAGCAAGAACATCTTGCTTTTTGGCTGCCTTATTGGCTCTTTTTCAGGCAGCTCTCAACTATTTGTGGGGAGGGGTTAGGGTTAAGGGTCTAGCAAGCTGTGAGGTAGCTGGGAGGTTATGTTCTTGGAAATGCCATTTCTCTTTTCATTCTTATCAATTTACAAGCTGTGCTTTTTTTGGGCATTCACCCTGTCTGAATTTCTCATGGAAGCTGTGATCAAGGTCTTCTCTGAATGATAAAAAGAGATGGTTCACAGTTAGAGTTAAGATACGCTGTCCAAAGCCAATATTGACAAACCTGCATGCTGCCTGCAAGACATTTGCATTATGTTGATACCCAATCTCATTCTCTGCTACATTCTGTAAAAATACAGGTTTGACATAGGGAGATTGTTGCCATAATTGCATGCAGTGGCCACACATAATTAAAAAACAAAAGTGGGGAGAGGAAGCCTGGCTTCACCGATTCATGCAAGTGCCTTGAAGTGTGGGATGGTGTGGTTCTTACGGAGATCTTTGTTCTACAGGCAAAAACACTGGTCCTGCTGGGAGAGGGGCATATCAATGACCAGTACAGTGATGGGGTTTAGAGAGAAGCAGATCTAAGGATACAGGTGAAACACCGAAACAAAATAGATTTTCAGTGCTGTACCAAAGGTGAGAGCAGAGAAGTAGTGTGTAAAGTCGTGAGTGGGAATACAGCTGGGAGAGATGTGGGCCAGATTCAGAGGCTAAAGAGCATTCAATGTAACTCAGGAAAGAGATTTAAAAGTCAATTTAGCTGTTTGGGGTTAGTTTAGCCGTTCCCTTTGTCTTGGCCTCATCCTGCGGCACAGACCCTGGTAGCTGCCATGGTAACTCTGCTCCAGTTGAGGAATTCCAGTTCATTTAGGGCACTCTCAATTTTGGTGGCGGGTTGTTCTCAAATATCTAAAGTACCTGAAGGATTTTGGCTCAGTCTCTTCCAACCCTGAGAGTTTGGTATCCCTGTGAAGTGTGGCCTTAGAAAATGGGAAATTTCATGCAGGAATGTCATTACTGCAAAAAAAGGCAAAATCATCTGTCCTTCTTCTCAAAGATATCCCAACCCATTCTCAATTCTTCCTACTATATACGCAACCTCTTCTAGACCTTGTCACCATTTCTTCTTGGTTTTTTTTATGTGAGAGTGTAGTTTTGCAGCCCAGACTCAGTGTCTGTGCTGGGCAATATGTAGCCAGTGAGGAATTTCTACAAATGTCTACATTACAGAGGAAAAGCAATGACAGCATGCATCAGTGGCATATGCACTCCTCTGAGGCTTCTGTGAGGTAATTTGAGGTGATTTTTTCTTTGGGAAGGCAAGTTTAGATTCTTGTTAGGAACATAACGTAAGAAGAACTTAGCTAATGGAGAAGAGCTTGTGTGTGTTGGAGGCCTTTGGTGAGCCACACTCCCAAGGTCTCTAAAAGCTAGGGAAGACTAAAAAATACTTCTATTACTTGTGAGTTGAGTAGGCCTTTTGTCCAGGAGAGCATCCCGTGAAACGAATGGGAATCTGAAGAGAGCAAAGGGGACAATGAGGAGGCAGACTTGATTTCTAGGCCTGTCAGAGGTGTGTAGCAAGAGATGACTGCAGAGCCATCAGCAAGTTGCGCAGTGTTTTGTGCTTGGAGGTAGTAAGGGAAGACGGGGAAAGTGAATAAATGGTGGTGGAGCAGACCTTTAAATTATTTTAAGAAAAGTGGTAGTAATGCAGTTTCCCTGGGCTTTGGAATAATCCAGTGCCAGAAAACTAACTTAAGGGACCAAATGGCACTGTTCACCCAATCTTGTTTCATTCAATTAGAGACTGATCCCCAGTTGCGACATTAAGAGTAGACTATAAAAGTTAATGGCATCTCCATGTGTGTTATTCACTATGCTAGTCTGTCTACACCCCGCTGGGATGCTTGCATCCCATTTCATGGCTCCCTCAAGCCACGTATAGGGTAGCAAAATCCGTAAGAGGCCGGTGGTTTGCCTTGCCACAGCTCAGGTGCGCAAGTCTTGCAGACACTCAGAAGCAAAGTGCCTCCGGCCACCTGTAAGACTGAAATGCAGGTAGGGGCCGTAGGATCACCCAGGTTTGCAGGTAGTCAGCCTGAGATCCGCAGGCATGCCACCAGGCTGCCTGGGAGAGTCGGGTACTCCTCTCCAGCTGTCCTGGAGGGAAGCAGGGTGTCAGCTGGTTAGTACAGGGGCTCTTTGACACCATTCCTTGGGACCTTTAACCCAGCGGGGTGTGGGCCCTCAGCTGCTACTTCAGTGCAAAGAGGCTGCAATAACAGCAGCAGCCCTGGAGGGTTTCTTCTGGAGCCAGAAATGTACCTTCTCCTGAGGCTGTTCCCAGGTGGGCCACGGAGCTGCACGTGCATTAGACCTTCTTCGGCCCAGGCTTGTTGGATGTGACATTCCTCCATTTCCCCAGGCAGACTCTCCCATCTTTCTTCCAGAAAACCTTTGTTCCCCTTTCCAGTCTGTAGCTGGGACTCGCACACCCATCGCTCCCGGCCTCGGCCAGAGCCGCTCTCTGTCTCGCATTCCCTCTCCTGCCTGCGTGGCTGGGAGCAGCTTCCAGTGGGCACAGAGGTCTGGGCTGTGTGGCTGGAGGGCACGTACCAGTGTTATGTTCCGTGCAAACAATAGCATTAATGAGGTACATCCTGGGAAGAGGGTATGAAGTAGACACAAACCAGCTGTGCCTCTAGTCTCATACTGAATTGTCATTCTTAATGTCTTCCACAGGGCTTCTTCATAAAGCTTTAAGAAGGAAAGAAAAATCCCTGCTGCGTATATACATTGCAGTTCTCATTAAATAATTTTGCCTTCATTTTCTCATCCCCTAAATTTTTCTCTTTCTGTGATTTGTTTTTCTTTTATAGCAGATAAAAAAATGATGGCCTCGGCATCCACAGCAGGAAACCAGCAGCTTTACTCACAGGGAAGCCCATTTCAGCCAGGACATTCGGGAAAGACTTTCAGGTATTGTAGTGCAGATCCTGAATGTATCAGCTTCTGTCTGATAGTGGGAGACTGTTCCCCTTTGCTCTAGTGGAAACAAAACTGACCTAAGATGCAAGGGCTTTCTTTACATGAATGAACTTTGCTTTGTGTACACTTCACTCCTATGGGATGTCTCAGCACTTAGGCTAGGCTTACAAGATGAGATGATGTGGATATCTCTGTTAAAAATAGTGGCTGGTAAGTGGGTGCTTGTTGCTGTGATGATGTAATTGGAAAAAAAGCTAAGAAGCAGCAACAAATCATGAAAGGAAATAAATCTGAGAGGTGATGGGGCAGGCTCAGAGATCTGAGGAACGTTCAACCAAGCTAGGAAGGTGCAAAGATTTGTTTTGCACTTACAGCTGTCAGTACTTCTGCAGGCTGCCTT